CCCTTCCAACCCCCACCAGTCCATGATTCTGTGATCTCCTGGATCCCTGTAGCTCCTTCTCTGCCCAGTAAACAAGCACACTCATGTTTACAGTCTTGAACCTCAACACCTTTCCCTTCATTGATTTCTGGTTTTAACCTGTGTTCAGCTGATGCATGAATTCACTGTTTCATCCTCAGATCCAGCCTAAGGCACTTCCACACCAGTTGTGCCAACTCAGGGATGCACAGTCTGGGCTTTGCTGGCGTTTTGCAACTCACTGAACAGCTGCTTTGTTATGAGTTGGGCAGTGGATGGAAAGAGAGACAAGCCTTGGTAACATATCTGGATGGACGGCAAAACAGATCTGCTTCCCTGCTCCTCCACTACTCGGAGCTCGACTGCAACTTAGGCTTTGTCACTCGGCCCAGATGTTGCGCGGTCACCACAAGACTGCCCAAAGCTATGCCAGGGGCCAGGTCTGCTGCCAGCGCTCCTCGGCAGCCCTGCACCTGACAGCATTTGGATTTAAACTGCCACAAGAACGCGTCAACCAACATTTCCAAAACAAGCTCAGTCATTCAGAGCTTCTCTTAAAAGAAACAACCATGAGCCTATGAAGGGCTAAAAAGCATGAAAGCAACTGAATATTATCAAAGTCCTGTGCAAACTTAGGTCAGGCCAACTCGTATGTACCAAGTTACTCACACGCTGAAGCGCTACTCTGAACCAGGAATCCTTCAACTCCGTACACGTCACCTGTGCAAAACATGCAGGAGGTCTTTTTCTTTTTTTGCATGGATCTGCGACTAGAATTTTGCTCCCTTGAATACAGAGGTTAGGTAAAGGAAAATAAAGACTTCTAGCAGACAATGGAAAGGCTTTAAAGAAATGTTTTTCAAAAAAGATGCTGCCTTTAGCTTTCCCTTTATTTTGTAGCATCATGCACCAAAGAACATTACTTCTGCAGGCACAAGTTCATGCAGAGAACACCACTGTCACTAAAATAGAACTACTTCAGGTTATGCAACGCTCATTAAAATTACAAAACCTCTCAAAAACCTGACCAGCATGTTAAGGCGCACTTGAGCTCTATGTTTGTTAAGTTAGTGGCTGCATCATGCAAACTGGCAGCAAGGAACTCCACAGAAATAGGAACAGGAACAAACTTTCATGCCTGATGATAAAGCAAAAACTAAGAGCACCTCAGGGCAGGGATAAACTTCCCCAGCCCATCTCAGCAGACTAGAATTCACAGAGAAGTGAGGAAGGTTTAGAATGAGCAGAAGTACAAGAATATTTTTTATTTCATCTCTATCCATTCTATATTCTCCATTTCAAAATTCCTATGAACTTCATTAAATTCCATTAAACTAATTCCATCTCATTTCCTATGAGCACAGGGATCTTGTTCCCTGGCCGACAGCCTGGGTGAACAGTCTAAAACGCTTACCAGTCCATCCATAGTCTCAACAGAGAGATAAAGTCTTAAAATCTGCATCAGTCCCACTATTGTTTTGTTACAACTCTGGTTTAATAAAGATTATTATTGTAGAAGGAAGCATATTTTGTAGATGTACCAGTTCAAAGCAGCCTAAGATAAACTCATTAACCAATCGCAGGAGGAAAAGTAGATGGTTGTAGTTAGCCTAAGGCAGGATTAAACCCAAACCCTGCAACACAACAGCGATCGAGAACATTTCCTACCCCAATTGTTTTGTTACAACTCTGGTTTAATAAAGATTATTATTGTAGAAGGAAGCATATTTTGTAGATGTACCAGTTCAAAGCAGCCTAAGATAAACTCATTAACCAATCGCAGGAGGAAAAGTAGATGGTTGTAGTTAGCCTAAGGCAGGATTAAACCCAAACCCTGCAACACAACAGCGATCGAGAACATTTCCTACCCCAGTAATACTCCGTTCCCTACCCGCCAGTGGCATACGGTGCTATTTGGTGTGCATGATGATTTACCGTTGCACCGCAGACGAAGGTCACTTTCAGTCTCAGATGACAAGAAGCTAATGTAACTTAACACCAAAAAGTGGAAAATTACTGAAATATTCTACGATATATATGTAAAATTAAATCTGAATGAATAAAAAAAAAACAATAATCAAGAGTTCTGGAACTTAGACCAAGCTGTCAATCCTTCAAACTTTGGGAATTAGCACTGTGAGATAGGCAAGCAGAACTAACAGCCTTTTAAGATCAGCCAAAAAACCAGTCATGCCACACTCGCTTGTGCCACATAGGATTAACAATTATGTATTCATGCCAACGCACTGACAAATAGCAAGGTCTTGCACGCAAGCTGTCTGGATTACTGCTGCTAGCTCAAATCGCAAACACACACCTTTTTCTTGCCTCTGCCGGCTCATACCAGTGGGTTTCAGCTGCCTTTGTTTCTCTCTCTCTGGAGCAGCAGACCTGGCTGGCAGAGCTGGCACCCCTCTTGACTTTGTGGGTCTCATGTAGCCTTTGATCTGTTCTGCTGCTTTAACTCTCTCTTTCTTTGCCTCCTTCACAGCTTTCTGTTCACCAGCTTCTCTTGCTTTAGCTGTATCTTGAGGTTTATCTACTTCAGACTTCAAGGCCGGAGCATCCTTCAGGTGAGCTTCCCCACCACGAGCAGCATCCTCTTCTGCAGGCTGAGAAGGACCTTTACTGTTAGCTTTAGGACTTACTTGGGTTGGTTGGGCAGCTGTCAGATTTAAACCAGCAGCCTCGGCTTCAGTCGCTTTATTGTCCAAACTGCTCGGGTACTTCAGGGAGCTCTGCTCGCTCTTCTTGCCTCCATCCGGCTCTGCCTCTTCAGCTTTATTCTCCATCAATGCTTCTGCCACAACCTGTGACGCGCCTGCTTCTGCTTTGCTCTCTGGTATTGCTGCAAGTTCTGGGGAAATGCACCCGCTGTCCTCTCCAGAAGAGACAGTTGCTTCTGGTTTCTCTGTCCCTTTGGCACCTACAGGAGCTGCTCTATTTTTTGAATCCGCCACTTTCTCAGGAAGGTCTGAAGACGTGTCGTCAGCATTGTGCTTTTTATCAGTGGTTCTTATTTCTTTATCATCCACCTTTGCCACAGGAAGGTGAACTTTGTCCTTCTTTGACCTAATGTCCTGTTTAACTGAATGATCCAAAGAAAGTGGTTTACCTGCCTCACTGCCATCCTGGGAACCAGGCTCTTTGGGTTGACCATCTTTCTTTGAGACCTCTTTTCCAGGCTCTTTGTGTCCCAGATTGATTGGCTGCTCGCAAGATTTCTGCATCTGTATCTCCTTCTTAGCACTAGATCTGGGCTCTTTGCTGCTTTTCTCTGCTACTGCTTCAGGAGGAGGAAGCCCCTGACTTCTTGCATCCTCATCCGTCTGCTTTGGGAAGCCAGAAGAAACATTGCCAGTGGTATCAGGGCCAGTCACTGCACTCTGAACAAAGGATTCGAAGTCGCTTCCTTTATTATTCCAAAGCATTTGAGGGCCAATGGGAAAGTTTTTAATATTCCTGTTTTCATCTACAAAATCCGTGTCTTCCATTCCGTATTCCATCTCAGATCCCATGGGAGGTTGCACTTCACTCTTGTTTGGTTTTGGCTCTAGAAAAACAGGCTGCTCGGAGACATTTTTAACCTTTTTACTACTTCCATCATAACCCCTCTCTTTAGATCTACCAGTAACTGTGGCCAAAGTGTGATCTGCCACTGCTGGATGCTCTAGGATAGGAAGTCCACCGTCCCTGCTGCAAGGAGTGGGACTTTCTGCTTCAGACTTGTCAGTTTTCTCCACGTCACGAGGAGGAGGAGGCAATAACTCTGCACCTGCTTTAGGCTCCAGAAGAAATGGCTGCTGCAAGTTAGCCTCCGTCTTTTTGCATGTCTCTTTGTTACCTGTGTGTGATTTTTCTGGTTCCAGAGTCATCGCAGGAGCTTGTACTTCAGTAGTATCAGATAGGGCATCTAGCAGACTCGCTAAAGTACTGGAATCAGTCTCTTTACCTTTATCAAAAGGTGGAGTTTGTTTAATATTTCCCACCTCTTCACCTACTGCAGGGATGTTACCTGGATCCAGTACAACAGAGCGCTCAAGACTATTTTCAGCCTTTTTGCCTTTCACTTCTCTACTTTTTTTCTTGGGCTTGTCCATCACCAGTTCCCTGGTGGGACTGTGTGCCACAGCTGCGTCTGCCCCGTGCCCTGGGAGAGGCTCGGATGAATCTAGTTCCTTACCTTTACTCATGGGCCGAGTTTCTTTAGCGTTGACTATTTCTGGCTCGGATGTCTCTATTTTATGACCTGAAAGAACTGGCTGATCAGAGAAACTTCTTCTATTGCCACCCTGTATGTCAGGCTTTTCCAGCACCAGTTTGGTTACACCTGTCAGATTCTCCAGCAAAAGCTCTCTTTCAAAACCAGACACCTTATCTTTATCAAAGGTCATTTCTTTTGTGCTTCCAGCTAACTTCTCTTTGCTTGCAAGATCGCTTGTTTCCACCCCAGTATCTAGGACAGCTGCTTGTCCCAAAGGACTTTTTTCAGGTTTTTTTCTTTTCCCATCACTACACCTCTTTCTAGGCTTGTCTCCCACCAGTGCTGCATCAGGATTGACCACAACCGATTCACCTGCAGAAGTACTTCCAGCCTCTTTGCCTTTAGTAATCAAATTTACTTCTTTTGTTTTGCTGATCGTGTCAGCCATGGCAAGATACTTTGCTTCCTCTCTCCTACCCTCCAGCAGGAACGGCTGGTCTAAGGCACCCATATCAGCTATTTCTTTTTTCCCATCGTTTTCTTTAGGCTCCTCTGTTACCAGTTCAATTGGCCTTTGCATTTTAGTTACATCTGATGTATTCTCCTGAAAACACTCAGCAGCAATACAGCCCCCCTCTCTGCCTTTATCACTAACACTAACTTCCTTAGTTTTATCAGTTATGTCAGGAAAACTACTTGGGTCCATCTTATTCTCAAGAAAAGGCTGCTGGAAAAAACTGCTTTCACTTTTTTTACTTCTTCCATCACTACCTCTTTTTTTTGGCTTGTCTGCAGGATAAGGATGCGTAATGCTTACTGACGGATGTCCTCTAGCAGTAAAACCTCTGCCTTTATCAGGGCAAGTTGTTTCTTTTACAGTCTCATCTGTCCTCACGCCATCGGTAAGTTTGCTTACATCCTCTGAAAGTGTCATCTGCTCAGGGAAGCTTTTGATTTTTTTTACTTTCCCTTCACCACGCTTTTTTTTAGGTCTGTCCGTCCCATGTGCAATATTGGGATCTTTTCCAGTCTGCTGCTCTAACGCAATAAATTCTTTCCCTTTGTTTTTATCAGGGGAATCTGCTACCGTCATTCTGTC